TCATTTAAACCTCAACTGTGGATCTAAAGTGCTTCAAACTGAAGTTGAGCCTTGGGACAGCATTTTTAGGAGAAGATAAGTTTAAAGGCTGTTTTGAAAAGGGACAACAGAACAAACAGAAATACAGTATATGATCTCTTTCTATCATTAAACAGTGATACTAAGTCAGCAGACAGAATATTTGGTTTAACAAAAATGAAATAATTATAGAAAGGGGACCAAGAAGGCAAGACAAGTGAGGCTACAGCTTCAGGTGCTGGATTAAAATAACTTTTTAAAGTGACTAAACTGCTAGCTTTGGCAACCTATCGTATATGTCTGGTATTCACCAATTCAGCCTTCTTTGTTCCCCCCCCCCACACACACACCTTTCATAGTTTGAGTCACTTTTCTGTGTGAGCTGTAAATACATTTCAATTAGTTAGGGAGCCTCAGTTATTATCAAAGTACATGTCTCCAGAGTAACTGAGATGCAAGTCCAGTTCTGCAGATCTCTTCCATGTATGTCTGTGTCTTATGCTGGCTTAGAACTCCAAGCGAGAGAGTGGGGAATCCACATGTTATGATTAGGTATGTACACAAATGATCATTATTATGTTTACAAAGGTTTTTGAGAGGCTACCTGATCCCTGTGCAAATTGCTTGTTTTTTCATTGCCAGCTGCCTCATTAATATAACACAGAATTAGGCTCCTTGAGATAATAATTATGCTTCACATTGCACATGCAAGGCACTCTTCATCAAAGTGAGCCTATGGAGTTTTGCAGACTGGCCACACTATTGCTTACATTGTCTATAGAGAACAGTTGCAGTTTGATTGTGGTTGAAAATGCTGTTGTCTTGTAATGAAGCTTTGGTATGACTGAAAGTGTAAGGCATTTTTTTAATATCTGTGAATATTTAATAAAATTGAGAATGAGAATATTTTCAGCGTATGAGAATGATAAAGTTAAGTCTTTAGAATGCAGTAAGATTCTGTTGTGGACAATGAATAAGTTGAATCATTTTCTAAGTTTCAGTTTTCTGATGGCTTGTTACTTTTGTTGGTTTGAACTGAATTTTAAATTGGAAGCCAGAGATATCAATAAGATGTCAGTTATGCTGAGTGTCTTCTAAGTAGTAAGTCCTCTCATCCAAAAGCTGTAACAGTTTTAAAGTTTGAGATGAATTTTAATGATCTTGTCATTAGATAAGATCTAATGATCTCTAGAAATCTTGAATGGGATTAAGTGTATGAGCTTTTTTCCCATACAGAAGTATTTCCTTTTTTTTCTCCCCAATTCTCTATTACTGCTGCTACCCATATCTTTCTGAAGAAGAAAAGGATGAGTTGCCTAGAGCATTTTCTTTCAAGCAGGGTTCACTGAAACGTAAACTATTCTTCATGCCAGCGGTGCGGGGGAGGGGGGGGTGTAAAAAAGGTAAGTGCCATTAACCAGTACAGTAAAATTTTTAAATATGTTTTCAAGCTTCTAAAAGTAGGTCTTAAGTTATATCTAATCAACACAAATGTATTATTTGTTATTTCCTTCTGCAAGGATTTATTTTAAATGTAAGGTGGCAGATAGCATATTTATTAGCTGATAGTTAACTATGGAATGGTAAATTGCTGTTTTATGTTTAGGGATTGCAGCTGTATTCCTGCCCAAATTTATACTTTCTAATTTCTCCTAAATCCATATGGGTAGAAAGTGGCTTCCCACTTCCCAAATCTCCCAACTGAGGATACCATTGGAGTGTCACTATGTGTTCGTTTGTGCATGTATTTGCGTTGAACTTTCTGTGTAGACAACTATACTTTGTAGTGTGCTGTCCTCACCTGTCTATGGTATCATGGAGTTGATAGTGATTGTTAAGAAACTTTTTGTTATTTTGCTACTTTTCTAGAAGTGTTTTGGCTTTTATGTCATATCCCGTTCTTGTCTATAGTTCTTGAAGAAGAAAACTAGATGTACTGGCAGAGGGTTCTCAACAAATTGGAAGAAGAATACTATCTTACAGGCCAAACCTACTGGAGAGCTCTGGATCATGAATGCCTACTCATCTGTCTTTCCTGCTTAATGGCTCTGTACAGGCATGAAAATAATGCAATGCAAACTGTAGATTTCCATGCAAGCAGCTTGACAAAATTAGACTAACAATCAAGTATTTTGCACAGCTGGGGCATTCTGTTTTTTCACAAGCAGCTCTTGAAATCTTGCAGCTTCCATCTCACAAGGTGTATCTTGCTGCTTGTTGTTTTAAGCTGTATATTCTTCATGAGGCGTTCAGGTATCATTGTAAATTAAAACAGCAGTCTTGGAAGTAAAGCATATGTCTGTCCTCACTTCCTCCAGTCAAACAGCGACTTTGTGGCAGTTCTGTAGATTGTGAGTGGATAGTCACGCTGCCCGAGGGGTGATTTGATGTGCAGTCTTGCAAGCTGTGAAAGTAAAGGTAACTAAAGTCAAAATATAACTTGACTTACCATCAACCTGTGATCTGTGTAGGGCCAGTCAGTGATATGGTTCTCCCTCCCAGAAAGCCTGTGTTAGCAAGACAGGTTGTTAGGCAGCATGTTTTAGAGGTGTTTATCAGTATATCCATCACTGGGAGTGGTGAAGGAGTGGCACCGTACTTGGGTTGATACCAAATTTCAACATGTCTCTTTGGCAAGGATGATATCCACTCACCTTGACTCATTTGAGGACCCCTGTGCATACCAAGGCTTCTCTTGCACATCTATGATCTGTGAGGTTCTTAGTCTTGCATACTACGTATATGACTTCTTACTTACCAAAATCAAACTGATGACAGCTTTGTTGGCGTGAAGGAAGTGTTGGCTGCCAAATATCATTTGCTATTTTTTTGAGATGAATGGCAGACAGATTTTTTTTTTTGCCTACCTTACTAAATCCAGGGGAGCTTTTACTGGCCTCCTTCCTATTTTGTTTTACATTCTCAACTTGTTGTTCCAAGTTTGAAGCTTAACTACTTTGACTGGTGAAGAGTCTGGTTGTAAACAGCTGTGGAAGCAAACAGGAAGTGGTAGCTCTTACGCCGAGTCTTGCTCAAAATCCACTTTGCCATGCTAATAATATAAAGGACTGAAAAAATCTTTTCCACATTTATGCTTTAATTCAGCAAGAACTTTAAATTATCCTGTCATTGGACTGGTGAAAAAGGAATATTCCTAGCTTTATCTGTAGTATATATTTATATATTACATATATTTAGCATATATTTCAGGGGAATACCTTGGAATGCCAAGGTATAAGTCGGGAAGGAGAAAAATATCTGCTGTATTGTGAAAAAGACAGATTATATGTAGTCTTACACTTCCTCAATTTTGTTTTGTGCTTGTCTTGGAAGCATGTTACTGGAAAATTGGGAGCACTTCTAGGTCTCGGCTATGACTTCCTGTTGCCAAGACCTACTAGTGCTTTTGCACACTGCAGCAGTTTGAGGGGGATATGGTGTATTTTGAGTATACCAAGCTTGAGATAGCTCAAGTGTTGTTATTGTATGACTTCCAGCTAAAACCAAAATAATGCCTTTCCTTGAGATGTGTTTACATCTCACAGTAAATTTAGTAAAGTCTTCAGGATTGTCTGTGAATGTTTGTGCTTAAATACTTATCTCAGAAGCCCAAGTTACATCAGGTGTTTGCATGCAGTGACATTTCTGTGACATGAGATGTGCATGTCAGGGGAGGGCGAACTTCAATTACAAAAATTATCATGTCAAAGTTAAAGGTTTTTCTTAAGTTCTAAAAACAGATTTCTCCAATGGTGCACTAGTCACCGAAAACAGACTTTTTGGATGTGGTTAAAATCTTTATATCTTTGTGTCTGAGTTCCCTTTTAGTAAAACAAAAATAGCAGTATTTTCCCTACTATAGTTGACATGTAGGTGAATATAGCATTGAAAAAAATAGTTATAGAGAAAAGAAGTATAAGAAATTCAGAGCAAAAATGGGGCTTGTGAAAGCATCCAATTTGTCTAGAGTTAGGGGGTAAGTAATGTGGCTATCTTGACTCTTCCCCACACAGAATATATTTCGAGATTCGCAATAAGTAGATGAAGAGTTAGCAACTAAAGTTGACTTTCTGCAAAAAAAACTACTAAACTTGATCAAGGACAGGCTTGAGTGAAACAGACTTTTCAGACTGTAAGCTGTGGTTAAACACTTTGGCTAGGAAGCTACTCTTACAAACTTCCCCTCCTCAGTTACACAGTAGTAGCTTCTTCTGAACTATGGTTGGTTAAGAATTACTTCAGTTAAACTCTCTGAGTGAAAGGAGTATCTGCAAGGACTTGCTGCTCCAACCAAAACAGTAAACTGATGTTGTTAATAAAGAAGTCTCAAGACACCAAAAACCTCACAGGGTTGTGGGGATTTTATGCTTTATTTTAAGGGTGAATTTATTTAAACCTTGAGATCGTTTCTGCATGACAGTGTTATCTTGTCCCCTCAATTTTTGGAAGACTTTATTTCAGAAAAGTAGATTTGTATGTTAGGAAATCATTGCATTTTCCGTGTAGGTCCTTTTCAGATGTCACTGCTTTTCAGGATAACTAGTCTTGAAAAGTAGGAAGTGTACTTTTCAGAAGCTGTTGCAGGCAGCAACAGATATTCTGTACTCTTTCTAACAGGGTGAGAGATAGCGGCTTCTTCTCCTCCCCATTCTTAATGAAATACCTTTAACTTTGGTAACTTGATGTTCAAACGGGCTGTATTTTCATATATTCCTGCAGAATGCTTTGGTTTTGCTTTTTAATAAGGCTTCTCTGTCTGCCAGGAAAAACCATAAATATGTTCAGACCTAATCTTGGCTTTGTGTTTTAAAGTACCCTGATCCAGGCGGGTAGAAGCATCCTTTGACACTTTGCTGATGAGGCGGCCTCTTTATTAACTCTCTTTTATTCTGATTTTTAATTACATTTCACGGTTATTTTTAAAACGTTTTTTCTCCTATGTTAATGCTTTTTTTTTATTATTATTATTAATACAAAGGCAGTGGTAACTTTGAAGAAAGGCTCTTTCTTGGCTGAAGAAGCTTCAACAGCCGGTCCTTCAAGTACTGAAACAGAAAAACTTCACGGCCGTTATGTGAGTAACACTGAATGAATTGAATTTGATTTCTTCAAAATGGTCCTTGTCATGGTTATTAGTTTAACTGAACCTGCATCTTTTGAGCCTGTATTCCTTCCCATACTACCGCTTAGATCTTACTGTAAAACAACTGTTTCTGATAGGTGATTCTGATGCTTTCAGTTCTGGGCTGCAATTCACAGAGATCAAGTGAGATTACCTGCGTGAATGAGATACCTTTATATCCTGTTTTTAGAGGATAGTATACTTAAAACCTGCACACTATTTTTAAAAAGATAAACAACAAAAGGCATTTCAGGTCTTAGGAGAAAAGAATAGACTTCACAGCTCCTAAGTAGCTAGTCAACTTTAATGTGTGAACACTGGTAGATACAACACTAATGTTTTTATATATTTATAGATCCACATCATCTGGCTAATATTAGCTGTTCTGTGTCCTCACAGATGGTTTCCCTCTCTAGTTTCAGGGGAAATGCTATATGATTTTATTCAGTATTTCTTTTTTTTTTTTTTTCCTTCTCAGAACCAACTCATTGTTCAACTGTCTATAGCTTTTGATATTTTTAGGTCTCAACACCTGGCATTAAGCCATGTAACATCTACCAGTAGTCAGAAAGAATGCCTTTATCCTGTAATTACATTCTTGCTTACTCTTCTAAAGCAAAACAATATATTCATACAGGCTAATCTTATAACCCAGTACCTAGTATTTTCACCTTTTTGGCCACCTATATATAATTATAAATATAATAATTATTATAATATAGTATAATAATTAAAAATGCTATTTAATAATTTCTAGGGCTTAAGAAGTTTATGGAAAATGGGAGAAAATAATGTAAGATATAGTCCATTTGTAGTGTTTTCTTTGCATGCTATTTTTCTTTAGAGGGGACTTCCATAAACATTCATTGATATCAAAACGCTTGGGAGAGTTAGGGAAAAAATGAATTCATGAACTTCTGCAAAGGATGAAAGTGAACAAGGTGTGAGCTTCAATGGTAAGTTAAATTTTTAAATATAACAGATGGTGTTCTTTACCCTTATGAAACTTTTTTTTCCTGTTTGTTCTTTGGAATGTTTTTTTCTGAATCGTCTTTTAAACGCTTTGTTTGTGAGAAACACACTTAAACCTAAAAACATGAATAAGTAACGTTCTGTCTGCCACTTCGATAACTTCCTATCCTGTGAGTGTCAGCATGTTAATTTACTCCGTGTGTTAGAGCAGTGAATTTGAGTTCTCAAATTTGTAGCATTCACTCGAACTGCACTGCTATCTGATGCAAATTGGATCACAGGTTATCTTCAGTTTTACTACTTTTCTGGTAAAACATGAAATGCAGCTGGGAGACTGTATCTAGCTTGGTTGTGAGGGGATTTTTTTTTGGGGGGGGGATTAGAATCTTTAATGACAGTACGCTAAATTGTTAATGAGACTTGAGGACGCTTTTAGATCTTAATTTTTAGAAATGAGTGTCATTAGCTTTTAAAATATTGACTGTCTTAATGTGACTTTATTTATTAAGCTTACTTTTTCATTCAATAAAACTAAGTTTCTGTCCATATATTTCAGCTTATGTCCACAAAAGCTCTTAGAGAAGATGGCTGATGTAAGCCTGAAGGAAGCAGCATTAATACTTGGTGTGGTGGCAGCTTGCTACTGGAACAGTCTCTTTTGTGGCTTTGTTTTTGATGATGTTTCAGCAATTTTGGACAATAAAGATTTGCATCCTTCTACTCCTTTAAAAAATTTGTTTCAGAATGACTTCTGGGGGACTCCGATGTCTGAGGTAAACTGTCTATGAAACACTTAGAAACACTTTGGAAATAGAGCCGTGAAATAAGCTTGCAGAAGGTTTTTACACTTTTTTTTTTTCCTAGTGTGATTTTAACAGAATAGTTTGCATCGCCTGGAATTTGGTGGTTGGTAGTTTGGACTATCAAATTGGGAACAGATATGACTTATATTCTCCCTCTTTGCTAAGCAAAAGTACTTGTAAAAAATGTGGAGTGTCCTGTATCACACATCAGTTCTTTGTAGTATTTAATTCCATTATAGAAATTAGACAAGGCTGGCCATTTTCCCTTTCTCCTGCGCAAGCTAGGCAATAGTATTTATTTCTAATTTTAATCTGGAAGGAAAGTTATACAGTTAAACAACAAGATATAGAGATTAGGAATTGAACACATCAAATTTATTTGAGCAAATATCTTTATCTGAATTGAGAACTTTTGGTTTGCAGCCCATTTTGAATTTGTTTGAAAAGATGCATTGACATTAAAGCTATTAATAAAAGAAATTAGGTAGCAGTGATTTAAGATGAAGTTTACATAAAGTTCAGAAAGATACATGTAGTGCCATTAAGGAGCAAAAAACCCTAACCTGCCAGCCATAGATGTTTTACCTATCAAGACATTCCACCTTGTTATCATAACTTTTTCTTATGCCCTTAATTATGGGATTAGCAAGGGGATTAGCACAATGTGAAATGCTAATTGCGAGCTCGACAAAATAGACTTTAATACTTAATTTTCATAGCCTAAAATGAAAGCTTTCAAAGTGTTTTTCAGATATCATCTAGTCCTGGAGTCTAGTAGCTTCAAATAGTGTTTTTCGACAAGTTTTTACACCAAAGACCACCTAACCTTGAGGAGAGGGGGGAAAAGCCATCTCATCTAGTGTTGATTTTGCACTTATAAACAAATGAAAGTCAGATTAAATTTAGTGAAATGAAAGTCAGGTTAATCTTAATGTTCATGGCCTTTTAAATATTTTCTATCTTTCTATTTTCTATCTTGTGTTTCTCTTGTTTGCATGTACGTATAATTCTTCTCACCCTTATTTTCTTCCTCTACTTTGTGGGTGTAGTCATCAAAGGTCAATAGGCTGTAGGTTGGCAAATGCATTTTTGAACAGGAAGGTGATGTTAAGTATAGTTTTTAAAAGGGATTGTGGGGGGAGTGTCTAAGAACCCACACGTAAGCTCTGCTTATTGATTATACTGACAGATATACTAAACCTATTTAGATAATGCATTTAGCTGAGTATACTAAAATTTTACTTTCTGTAATATTGATCTACGGCATGAAATGGCAGATTGATCAAAACACTTGAAAAATGCGTCAAAACGGTTTACAGGTTGGAAAATGGTCAGCGTTAACTTCTCAATTTAACAGTTTAATTTTAAATAATCCATCTTTTACTTTACTAGATGTTGTTGTTGTTAGTATTACTGATTTTCAAGTCTTTATTTTGAAGGTATATGACTGAATAGTGGGGAATTACATGTATGTACAGATTTTTTTTAAAAGGTGTTTTGGAGTGAAGGGCGCTTTATAAGTTGATGTTGACTTATTTATTTCCTTCTTTTTTAGGAGAGGAGTCATAAATCTTACCGTCCCCTCACAGTCCTCACATTTCGCTTAAACTACTTGTTCAGCGAGTTAAATGCAGTTTCCTACCACTTCCTAAATCTGGTCTTTCATGCGGTGGTTTGTATAGTCTTCCTCAAGGTCTGTAAGCTTTTTCTGGACAGCAGGAGCAGTGTAGTTGCGTCCTTGCTCTTTGCAGTGCACCCAATACATACTGAAGCGGTAGGTAAAGCTTCAATGTGTCTAATCTGCTGTTAAATTTAAGCTGTATTTATTAACCTTAAATTTTGTGTTTTATGTGTGTTTATATATAGTATTTCCAAAAGTATGTGTTTGTATTTGGACTTGGACTTGTTTTTGTACTCTGCCCTTTGCAAAGAAGAGTGATGGAGGTGACCAGCTTCTCATGACTCCTTTGTGCTCTGAGTTATTGGTATTCCATGCAGCTACTGAAAAATAATTAAAGAAACATACATTTAGTTATCAAATAATTGGAGTTTCTACCATGAATGTTCACTTTTATGATGACAGCTACTTCAGTTTATGTAGATATTTGTGCATTCTGTAATGATCCATCTAGCATTGTATCTTGCAAGTGCTATGAACAGCTCTTAATTCATTTTCAGAATTCATATGCATTCTCTTAGCTACTCGCTGAGACTGTTCTATTCACTTTTTTTAATGCCTATGTATCTATCCCAGCAAGACTCTTCCTAGAAATGTTGTATTTGCTGTCCTAGATCCAACTTTAGGACTTTGTTTCAACATCCTATATTTGACTGTGTTCAGTATAAGAACGATGAAACGCATTTCTTGCCTCTTTCATGCTTACCTTTGTTTTGATCCTAAATAAGCGTTTCGCTTCCACCAAGAGCAGCGTTTATAAAAGCCATCTGATTTGTACACTTTTTAACGCTCAACCAGGCTTGTAGCTTGGAGACCTGTGTCAGAAGTTTTGAATTTTTTTTTTTCTTTTTTCTTCTTTTTTGAATGGAGTATTGTGATTGTCTTTTGTTATGACTTGCTTCTATCAGAGACGTTGATAAAGCAGATCTATGTAATTCTCTGCTGCTGTTTCTGCATCATGTAGCTTGGCTTTCTGCACAGAGATTCACATTGGTTGGAAAGCCCGTTCCCAATTTTTTTTTTCCTATTATCTTAGCTGATTTGCAATTCTCTATGTTACACTGAAACTTTCCAAAAACGTTTTAATCTTTTTTTTTGCATATAATCCTGTGAAGTTTTTGTATTATGAATTTTGAAGAGAAAGGACTGCTGTTATTTCATCTTATATTATATTTTTGTCCTGGGCAAATAGTGCTCACCTCGAATTCTTCTAAAGACAGAAATCCCTCTCAGCAATTCAACAGTCCTTATCTGTGTATTTTGAGTAAGTCTTTGTACAAAAAAATTTCATGCATGTTTCTTTTTTTTATTGGCTGCTGTTTGTGCATCTGTGCGCAACAGGACAGTTGCAAACAATGCAAAAGAAGTCCTTTTGAGAGGAGGTTAGTGGCGTTCTTCAAAACTGCCAAAATTTAAAGCCTACATATTATCTTTTTCTTGCTTTTGTGCTTGGAAACGCAAAACCCCATGTGATTAACCTAGGAAAAATTATGAGTAAAACACAATTGTTTTTTCTTTAAAGAACATGTATGCTTTTAAGTTTCAGGGTTTGGCTTTGCCTCTCGAACAAATATGATAGCATCTTAGGAGGAGCTTCAGAAAGTTACTAGTGACTTACGTTAGTGATTCATTGCTTAGATCATCCTACATAAAGAATCATCATATCAGGAATGAAAGAAGTGATCAGTTTATCATGCTTGTTTATAAACTGTCAAATTCCATATGAGATTCCAGTAACACACTTAGTTGTTTTTAATGTTGTGCAATAGAGTTATGGAAAAAGTCATGTAGTGCCTTTAAAACATTTTGTCTATGTAGTGAAAGATCATTGAATTGGGTAGTGTGTGTGTGTGTTTGTTTTTTAAAGCTACTAATTACAGATTCAAAGCCAAGTAATTTGGTAATAAGTGTGTAATCACTGATATTTGCCACATGAGGGCGCTTTAGGACTGTAATTATTAGAAATCGCTGCTGTACTTAAATCTCAGATTCCATAACAGTTTAAGTGCAGTTTTGATTGAATTCCCTTGCTGCTGTATTTAAGTACTCAAGAATCTGTTAAGGGGTTTCCTTCCCCTCTCCCAACTCCTTTCAATTTAATTTAAGCTTTCTCCTTTTCAGAAATACGCTGTGTTTTATTCTAATTCCACCTAAGATGCATGTAATCAAGAAAGGATTCTTAGAGTTGACAGTTGTGATTTGTGCATGTGTATAAAAGGCAAAGCAATTGGGACTCTAAGTTTCTTTCCATAGACAGAGATTAAGTAATAACTAGCTGTGTTTTAGACTTTGGATTTGGGTGCTAACTAACTGTTCTCCAAACTTTAATGAAACCTCCAAAGCAGGACTCATTCCTAGTTTTTATTCCTTTTGCTGGTATAAAACGTATCTGAAATGAATTCCTTCAATTTAGTCTCCTAATATTATCCCCCTGCACAGGAGTTTCAAATAGCAGATGCAATACATGCAAGTTTCAAACCTTTACTTACCTTGTGATAAATTAATTTTCCCTGAAAAATTAGCAGAGCAGGCTAAATAGAGAAGAGTTGTGCTTGACTTCAAAGAGAAGTGGGCTCTTGAGATGGTGATATATATTACTTTTTGAGGTAAAATTTTTGAAGAAACTAGTTGAATAATAGCATCATAGTGTCCAAGATTGTAAAGTCACATTTGACATTGTCTCTGGAATTCCAGTTTATTCTACCTAGCAAGCCGCTCTTCTGGTCAAGAGCGTGCTGATCCATTTACAGCTGTGGGACGTCAACTAACCTTGGGGAGTCTGAAATTTTGTCTCATAAATCACTGTTGTATCCAGAAATGGAATCTCTCTTCTCTTGTTGCCTTGTCTGGGGACTGTAGAGGCACACCAGCACAGTTACTCTACTAATGATCTCCAGACTTAGCTCTCCTTAATACCTATCTCAGTGCTGAACAATGTTGTGATCCAGACAAGGAATCTTTGAAGCGTCTTAAGACGTTTTGGAAATGAACACCTATATACTATCCAAAATGTGACAAAAACTTTGATGTTCTGTCAGTTTTGAAATATACTTTGTCCATGCATGATTCAGCAAGTCCTTTAGCAAAATTAAGCTGTTCCCAAAAGAAGCATCAGACAGTGATTTCAATATTCAGATTTGAATACTTTTCTTTGCACTCTGACCTTGGATCCTGAGTTACTTTCTGTTTATGCTGTGCTGGATAAATTATATTTTACCAAGAATGCACCTAGCAATAAAAATGTCAAGCTGTGATTGGATGGCTGAAAGTCATGCTTAAGCATCATCATAATTAAATGGTGACATATGAGGTTTTCTTAGCCAAATAAGACTTTCTACCTCAGGGTAGCATGCCATTTTTTCAAGCAGCGTATTTGCAAAAATGTAAATGTAATCAACGACATTACAAAAGAGGGCCAATTAGAAGTAAAGGCAGCCCTACAGGGTATTTTGGTCAGAGCAGTGGCTATTGCAGTAACTATTAACATAGTAGTCTGTCTTTGGCTGTTGGTCACAACTTAGCTTCATTCATGAAATGTATCTTGTACACAGAAAACAAAGCCTGTATTGCATTAGAGATTCTGAAATAACCTTATGCCGTATGGATTTTAGCACTTCTCCATAAAATAATCATAAAATCTGTTATTCTCTGTCTCGCTACCAAGGGGAGCAGTATATGCAATAGTTTAAGGCTGCCAGCCAGATTATCACACAAAAGATTACCAAACCTGTAGTGAAGCCTTAGCCTTTAACTGTGTTGCACAGAGCCTGCTATCGACGTATTGATAACTCTTGACTGTTCAGATAAGAACTGCAATAGCACCAGTCAAGTGAGCACTTCTTTCAGACCCATGCAGTCACTCATACAAGATATGAACAAAATTGACTATGGTAGTTTCTATATGCCATTGTCTGCAGTGATGTGTTGCAAGGATGTATATGTAAGACAGTCCTTGCCACACTTTACTTACAGCTCTTACAGATGAAAGCTAGCTTCTTCCAGGTTTTACGACGATAGCAATCGTAATGCTGCCCAATTTGCCTCAACTGATATTTGCAGCTGATGTTACTGAAGATATATTTTAAAAAAAAGAAAAAAAAGCAGAATTTCTCAATTGCCTCATTAATGGTAGTTATGGGCACAACAGGGTGATTGGTGACCACTTGTTATCAGTGTTCCTGAATTCAGCACTGGTTGAACTGAAAGCATTCATACTATTGTTATCCTTTTCTGCTTGGTTTCCAGGTCTTGATTCTTGATAACGTATCAGTCATGCGTTATTCAGTACTTAGAGAGCCAGGCAGAACAGCTTATTGTGTTTTAGTATTTTAATGAAGCAACTAAAAAAAATGGGAATTGCAGAAGAGCAGAAAAACAGTCCCTTTTTTTTTTTTTTTTTACTGATCAGCTGTGACTTTTTAACCATGGGTCCAGGACCAGTAATTGTCAGAGTAATTGAATAACTACATACACAATGAAGAAAGAATGTTTAGTAACCTGTCACTGTAGTATTCCAAAACACTAGCTATTTTGGAACCCTCCCTGCACACAGCCACGCTGTGATTCCTCCTTCGCACCTCAGAGGTATAGGGTGCAAGCATGACCTTCTTGGAGAAGAATAACTAAAATAAGAATAAAGATGTAGGATCTCTTCTTAAGATCCATATTAACTAGCGAAATAATCTTTGTTTTTCTTCCTCTTCTTAGGTAACTGGAGTTGTGGGCAGAGCAGAACTTTTATCATCTATCTTTTTTCTGGCTGCTTTTTTGTCATACACTAAATCCAAAGGGCCAGATAATACCATAGGTAAGTGACTAACAAATATATATGTAGCTTCATGTCTCTATCAGTGGTAATAGAGCTCTTAAAATAGTAACGTGGATGTAGGTATTGGTTAGTAAGCAAGCACGTACATAAAAAAAATCTTCAGCCCTGAGACACTCGTGTAATATTACAAATAATGTTTTGCATCATAAATTACCTTTTTTCAAGATAAAGAACCTTTTTATGTTGCTTTGTAAAACGTAGAATTCTCTAAATGAGTAGGCAATTCTTGCACTGATTTTTTTATTAGTGCAAGTAGTGAAAATACACTGGGATGCATCAAACTGTCCTAAGTAAGCCACAGAATTGCAATGGAGATATAGGAGTCTTGCCTATTTTCTGAAGTGACTTTGAAAATTCGTGACTGCCTTTAAATATTTAAATTGAAAAGGTATTTTGGCGAGTTAGGAAAGCTTGTTTGTTTTGTTTTTTCTTTCTTTCTTACCAGAATGTCTTATATTGGTCTTCTGCCTTTTATTCAATTCTTAAATTTTAAGGGAGGCAATTGTAAAACTGATAGGTATATATTATCTTTTTGCAAAGTAAGACTGAGAATCTCCCCTTTGTTACCATATGACATTGAATAAGTTTCTAGATTTTATTCAAAGATAAAGAGTCTAATTTCAGCTTTAAGTTAATTTGGTTTATTAAGTGGTTGTTTGTGCTGTAAGATGGAACATTTTCAGTCATGTCTTTTTGATTTGCAGTGTGGACTCCAATTGCAGTGACGGTGTTTCTAGTAGCTGTTGCAACGTTGTGCAAAGAACAAGGAATAACAGTAGTGGGAATATGCTGTGTATATGAAGTATTTATTGCTCAAGGGGTAAGATGTGGTTGAAAGATCAGATTTCTTCTCAGGAATTGTGTATTGAGGCATTAAATATTCAGAAGCTTCATATTTCATCACTAATTTTTAGCAGTTTAGGCTAATTCTATAGTTGTTTTGCACTTTTCAGAAGTTCCTTTGACTCGACTGATATTTAAAACGCATGGATCGTGGGGAGAGAATCAAATGCTTTCTAAGTTGCTTTTTATATGTCATGCAGAGATATTACCAAATATATTTGATAAAGATTTGGCATATCTTAACTAAAACCTGAGGTTTTATTTGACTGAGTTTTGCAAAGACCAGCATGTAATAGAGTTGATTAAAGTCTGAGGTGCGTAAATATAGAGGCATTGTCCATTTTTAATTATTTTAGCAAAAATAGAGAACGTATTTTTTGCAAATGACTTCCATCACATGCTAATGAACAACCAGATGTTCTGGAACAGTCTTATTTGAATCGGTAATATTTTTATGAAATTTGCACTCTAAAAATGCCTTTAAATTTAATTTCTGATTTCAAAAGTTTCTTCTTGAGTATTAGTATTTCAGTAAGTTGATACTAGCTTTTCTGTTGGCTAGAAAACAAATGATATTCTTACAATGAAATAAGTTTTGGCTTTTTAATAGTAAAACCATATACAATTTTAAAATGTGAAAACACATATTGTAAGAATATCTTTTTAGTTTACCATTCCTTAATTATTTTAAGGAATATTTTGCAAAAACTGCAACAGTAAAAGCCAAAAGGTTATCTGTCTTTGTGATATATAATAAGGCTAAAATGTCAAAATCACATTTTTGTGTTTGTAGAAATGTGTTTTGAGTAGTGGCTTTGCATATCCAATGTATAAGCACACAGTTTTCAAAGGGGATTTCTAAGGAAATCACCTGTATGTGACCATACTTTTCAAACCACTCCTCCTCTCTTGTAACTTTTGATCTAGTTATCAGTTTCATTAGTTTAACAAATTTGTGTAGGTCAATTAAGTAGAAAAGATAAAATGCAAACTCGTGCTTCTGCTGAGGCTGTAAGTCTTTGGCCGGTTCTCAAAACTTGTCAATATCTGTATTTCAGCCAGTGTATATGAAGCAGTACACCCCAGCACAAGACATGAAGACATAGGGAAGGAAGTGTGCACACAGCGAAGAAATTAGGGTACATAATGGGGAACTGTGGAAGAGCATAATGTTCATGAGGCAGGGACAGATGGGATTACTGCAGCAGAGAAATAAAACAGAAATCCAGAGCTAAGCAGGTAATAGTATTTCCACAGTCCCTATAATACTTTGTTTAGGACAAATTTTCAAAGGGGCAAATAATTTTGAAAATAGTGATCTCTCTCTTTCAAAATTTATTCCATGGTCAAATTTTATATAGGTTAAATGTGTAACACATCAGTGCAAAATATGGGGTTACAAGAAAATGTTTTGAGTTCAGCTCTGATAATGTTAGCAAAAAGTACTCGAACAGAGTTTTTTGTTTAGGTGGATTTCTTTTGAGAGGAGGAGTCGTATGAGTGAAGCTGAATTAAGTTTAACTGTTTGGAGCAGGCTCTTACAGAAACCCAAGGGAAAAAGATCAGAGAACTGAAATTCATACGAAGGATTAGCGAGTACACTGTTTGATAACAAAATATTTTTCCTTTGCAGTACACCTTGCCCGTGCTGTTGGACACAGCTGTACAGATTCTTCGAGGGAAGGGCAGTATCCCTTTCGCTATGCTCCAAACACTGCTAAAGCTCATTGTCCTAATGTTCAGTACGCTGCTTCTTGTTGTAGTCAGAGTCCAGGTTATTCAGTCTCAACTTCCAGTGTTTACAAGGTAATAGGGAAGTGTCCCTTATTGACAGATACTGTTAAATAAGGTGTGGCTTAACGAGATCTGAATAAAATGCTGAAAATTACTTCACCTAAAATGCCTAGTAACTTACTTTAATATTGTTAGGTAATGACTGTACAGTATTATTTCTGTGAAATCAATAACTAGTGTATTTCAGTAACTGCTGACAAGAACATCCAAAATACTGAGGTATCCTGAGCAGGCATTAATTTTTAAACAGTTTTGATTCTTAGTCAATTCTAATATTCCAGAGATTAAATATTTTATTAATGAAGTTTTTTGTTGGTCATATGTTTGAACCTTGGATAAGTACTTCAAAACTTCTAAAAAGTTTTTTTCATTTACGTATGAAATATTTTTGTTTTTCAAATGCCTGCTATGTAGAAAGTATAGTTAACCTCAGATACAGTGCTTGAAGATGAGTATATAAGAATAAGGTTAGAACTGAAAAACTGTAATTTATCTTAAAAATAATCTTTATGAGATATGTAAAAATGCAAGAATCTAATATTTTCCCTGAAAAGTTAGGCCTTTTTTTCCCTCCTCCAAAGCAAGGACCACTGATCCCAACTTTAGCAAAAGTGATGTAGTCATTCTCTGTTTATTGAAACTTAAGCTGTTTATATCCCAAACCTATTTCTTGAAGAAACATAGAGAAGCCTCCGTCCCATGCTGAGATAAATCATCATCTCTGGTTCCTGAGCTACAGACTTGACAAACGCAGGAAGATCAGTATATTGTACATGGCTGTAACTGGCAATTCTAGCTATGAATTTAGAGTTTGTTGTTGCCTGGGCACAAACTCAAATCCATAATTTTTTTTTTTTTCCTCTTTCTCCTTTCTCTCACTTTAGGTTTGATAACCCAGCTGCTGTAAGTCCATCTCCAGCAAGGCAGCTGACTTTCAACTACCTCCTGCCTGTAAATGCTTGGCTGCTTCTCAACCCCTCAGAATTATGCTGTGACTGGACAATGGGAACTATTCCTCTTGTGGAGTCTTTGTTAGATGTCAGAAATGTTGCCACTCTTACATTCTTTTGCTTTCTGGGATCTTTAATTGTCTTCAGTCTCCGATATCCTGGGGATTCCTCCAAGACTGTACTGATGGTATGAACGATGCATGGTTTTTTTTTATACTCTAACGAGAGTATAGCTGACTCTGGATGTTTAGTCACATGCCTAAGTAACCCAGTGATTTTGATACATCTAGTTGTGTGCTAGAATGAACACACAAGAAAAGAGGAAAACAATTTTAACAATAATACTGTTAACTCACAATTAAGTATTCACTCTATCAGGAATGAGCTCGAGAAACACAGGCAAGAGATGAGAATAAATATGTCCAGTGTTGTGTACTTGCAAACAGTACTGTGGCCTTTACGTATTCAGAAGTGAGCTAACAAACTTGGGGTGTCGGTAGAGTCTAGGTACATTTTAAGGATCAGAATGCATTCTGATCCTGTGACATGTCTGCATTATTTAAATGTCCACAGTTATTCTGCATATTTACCAAGTGACTCAATTATTTTTCCTTATTTTTGAAAAAGCCATACTTTGGCATTTAAGGGTATAAATTTTCCTCTTGTGTTGATGTTCTCTGAATCAAGACACTCTTCTGTAGCCTTTTCCATATTTTAAGGGAAAACTAATTTCTTCAACCTAGAAAGGTTTTTCACTAGTATACCACCTTAAAACTGAAATGGATTCACAGGAAAGAATGTTTTGGAGGAAGTGGAAAGAAGCAAATGAGACAGCTAGTACTTTTTTTGGTCTGAAAACACTCACCCTTTTTTGGTTGCTGACTTTTCAAAATTTCACAAGATTATTGATCAACTGAGATAATGTTTCTTCTTATTAAATCAGGGATGTAATAATGTCTACAACAAATACACCCATGCCAGCATGCCTGAATCTTAGTTTGCCTCAGTAACACTGTGATTTTTTTTTGTTGTTTAAATATGTAACTTCAGCCAAGAGTTGCATGTGGGTGGGAATGTTTACGCACAATTTAAGGCTCAGTACTTTTTTTTGCTAATCAGCTGACAAATTTGATTCACTTCAAAGAGACCTAGCATATAGTTATAGCTCTGACTAATATGATTATTCTTGCCTTGCTGTGGAAGTGAAGTGAATTATTTCACTGGAAAATCAGTTTTCAAATTCAGGATAAGAGGCTTCATCAGCAATACTACAGCTCATTTTTACTACGTAAGAACAAGGGACCTAGGTATATTGATATACTAAATGTGCAAAATGACTTACCTAGAAAATCACAATTTAAAAATATAACCTTGGGCAGTGTATATTTAAATGGATAATTAACTGGTGTCTTTGAGAAATGTTAATGTTTTGCAGCACTTAATTTAAGTGAAGTGGTAGCTTAATTACCTCTTGCTTAGATACAGTGAAACTATTTTCCTTCAGCGCACTGAAATGTGTGTGTGTTTGGGGAGGGGTGTCACCTTTTTCAGAGGATGTTTTTTTAAACTTTGAGACTCCGTATTTCCTGTTTTTCTCTTTGGTCCCTTCCTCAGTGAAGTTCATAAAAGGGAAGAGTTAATGGAATTTTCAACACGTGCAGTAGTAAGTCAGTGTTCGCTCTAGTTGTATGAAATACATATTTTTATTATTCCAAGTGGTTTTTGTAGAAAGGGACTTCTAAGATCATTCTGTCCAACCTGCCGGCTACAATGCGGCTTAACACAATATAATCTTTGTTTAATGAAAGTTATTCTCCATAGCTTAGTTATATAAATATATTATGTATATAACCTGTATGACTGATTTTCTTCCCCCCTGCCCCGGCATAGTATCTGAATGCCTGGAATTCCTAATTTCTTAGGAAATGATAATGCAGTATCATAAGTTAAAAATTAATTGTTATGTGCTATAACGTGCAACAGCGCTGTAGATAGAAACGTATTTCTGCCTTCCAGTAAGCTGTTAATGGCCTTGTGTAGGTAGCTCTTCTACCTTCCCATGGCAGTTAACTCTTTCTTCTGTGTGGCTTCTTAGTCTGACTTCTTAAAAGAAATTCTAGAACTATCTTTTAAAGTGAACAACCTGAACCTTTGTTCAGTAAGACCAACTTATGAAGTTTATGGCAATTTTGTAGGTAATTATGTTGGATTACTATTTTTAAAATTTGTTGTTTTGATACTCGGTTCTACCAATAAAAGCCTGAATTTCTGCTAGTCAAAGCAAGCTGTTAGCCTGGCAGGTGTAAATTCTGTGTGCCATCTGCATGGATGCCACATTAGTTGTATCAGTATAAAGGTGGCTTTAGCACAATACATTTGGTACTATGACTGTCTGCACTGTTTGATATTTTAAACTGTAATGGTCTTGAAAAGGAGTGACTAGGAGTCTTTAAAAATCTTTAGCATGTTTTCAAAGCCTCGTCTGTCAGCCCGATGTTAGGAATGAACATTCCACTGCTATCTTACTGCACAGATGTATCATCAAAAAAAAAAAAAAGCCCTTTAAGACAGATCAGGCAGGTCTCATGCCGAAGCCTGATATAAGAGGAAGGTCTCAAATTGCTTTACTTTATGAGGTCAGCAAAAGTATGACTTTAGATCTGCTGCAGAAATGAAGTTGTTTATTTGGACTTTGCCAAGGAAATGCAAAGGAAAAGGGATCTAGAATGCAAAAGAGAAAGGCCACAAGTATGTCTGAGTAAGTCCATGCTTGCTGATACGGATATAGAGTTGGGTGCTGTATTGCATATGGGGGACAAGGACAAGATAGAAGAAAGGATTCCTCCTGCCACATCTACAAGTGACAGTGGACCTTCCACACAGCTCCAGAAGTAGTCTCACTCGCTAATGAGAGATACAAAAGATGAAGGACCCATTTTCAGTCAGCCTCTCTTTGATACCAATCACCTCTGGAGGAAAAAGACTTAGGTAAGTGGATGCATTTGTTTCGTTTTGTTTTACTTTAATTTTTTGTCATGGGTTTTGAAATTTCCTTTTCAAAATAACAGCTAGAACTGGGAAAGCATAAAACAGATAAACTACTTCAAAAGAGCAATTCATTTTACCAGCTGACAATATTAAACTAACGAAAAATGGGATTATATATTATAATTCAAACCACAATGCTTTGACATGTTGATGTCATTATGTTGCTTGAAATAATCAATTATTTTGGCAGTAGAAAAGGACATGCCCTGGAAACAATGCATGAGCAATTAAATTCTCTTATTTTCTGTTTACTTTATCCCTATGAACAATCAGATCACTTAATCTGACAGTCAAGTTACCTTTATAAATAGATTACAATGTAAATATTGAAAATGTTGAATACTAGCAGTAGTACAGATCTCGAATTACTTTGGTGACTTTGCAATTCGTTTCAGAATTAAGCAGCAATCATGGCCCTTTTCTGTTTGAGGAATTTGTTGAGTATAGGCATTCTTTTGTTGCTGTCAAAATTTTAACTTTTCGTTATCTTTTTTGATGTTTTTTAAGTGTCTAAAACAAGTGTTGCTTTACTCACGCCTAACACTCCCTTTCCCTCCCTACCCTCCAGCCCTTGTGATGGGAGAGCTCTACATATTACTTGGCCATAAACTTTGGTAGATTATTATTGTACAAATGTCAGGGATAGATAGGTATCCTAAGTTTTCCTGGACAGAGCATTTGACGCTTTAAAGTGATATATCTGCCAAGATGTCAATATTTCTAAATTTATCAGTATATATTTCTACAATGTCTATGCTGACAGCTCAAGCTTTGAAATATTTCCTTGTATGTAAGGCCAGGAGCTTTTGAATGGTCCCGTAGCAGTTCAGATGCACTTCAAACTTTTCCGTGGTATTTTAGAGTGTTGCAATATCCTTTTTTTTTTTTTTTTTTTTTTCCCTCCTGACTGCATACTTTAATGGTTTCTGTTTTGTTTTTTCTTAATCAGTTGCCTTGGCTGGGATATTCTTCAAAGGAGCTTCTGCACCTGCTGAAAGACTTTGATAAAGAGAAAGACTAAATGAACAGAAGAGAATGCATTTATCTGCAGTAGCTTTGAGGCTACTGCATAGGAAATTGGAGTTGAAGGACAGCGTGCTACAGAGGCCGAAGGACGGGAAGAGAGGTTCAGCAAAACATGCAATCATTCTAACAACAAATATTGTTACAGAGTTATGGAACAAAAAAATCTGAAAGCCTTTGAAACGTGGGCAGTCCTTTTCAGTAGGTGCCTCGACTGAAAGCACCCAGCACTGACAAAGCTTGTGTATTATAAGCTGCAGGATCTGTTCTACTTCAACCTACTAGACCTACTAGGAAACAGTGGCTTCCACTGTACATAGTTTGACCTCATGGGGTTGTGGAACCTACATCCCTACTTGAAGAAGGAAGTTTTAAAAAAAAAAAAAAGACTTGGAAAAAAAATTTTAAGCAATAATGTAAAACCACTAATTTGGTAAAATCATAAGAGCTAACTTTAAATTAGTAACCCAGCAGGTTTCACAAGATGAGTTGACCCATTTATCCATTTAAGCTTATGTACATGCTTTATATGCACTTTAAAGTTAAAAACAGATAATTCACAGTTCAATAAAAGCATATGCAAAACAGCGCGCTGTCTGTCAAAGCATGCTTACAATGCACTTTTTGTACTATCGCAGTTGTTTGGCTGCTCAAAACAGAATGACACGTAGAATGACACTAACTTAGTTCCCATAGTTGCCTCCAAGAAAGTGTAAAGGCGTTTTGTGTAATTAAATGAAAAAGTGATGCGGAAGACTGACTTTGGTGGTAGCATGAAGGAACCTTGCCGTTTCAAAGTAGATTAAAACATCTCTTCAGAGTTCTGTGTTGTGGCTTTTACTTCTTGAGAAGATAGATTGGTAGCTAAAACTATGCTTGTTTCTAGATAGAAAATAACAACCAATTGTATTGAAAATTTCTACAAAATTCTTAATTCTTTCTTCAAAGAAATGTTCCGTGTCTTTTGTTTTTCTTACTTGGAGGCCAAATATTTAGAAATAATCATGTAAGTTCCTTCTTGGTCTCTGAAACTATAAAACTGTTACTTAACAGTAAGACACTGAGGCCTTAAAGCAAGTGGTGATGTCTGTTTTCCTTGCAGCAGACAGATTTCTCCATCTTTGACTGTTTTTCTCCTATACACATACATGTTGTTAAGGTATCTGTCAACAACCTAAGAGTTGCAACTAAGGCAGTTTTTGATTGTAGGTATCTCAAGGTGCCGGCAGTGCAGTATCTAATCACAGATGTTAATTCAGTGATTGATTCTGATCTTTATGCAATTTCTTCACAATCTTAACAGAAACCAGAAAGGCACTTCATTCTATTGTAAAATTAACTGCTTTTCTTATTGTATAGGTTGCTATTCACTTTAATTGTTCTAAAATACAGTTCTGCTTTGCATATGAAGCTGTCATTAGTGTGCAATTGAGTATCATTTTTCACAGCATGTAAGAAAAATAATTGCACAACTGAAAATATTTTCAGAAGACAGTTGCAATTTTTGTTTTCCATTCCTGACCCAAATGATCTGTTTAGTACTTGAAAATACTGTGCCCATTTTCTTGTCTTTGCAAAATAAGTTTACCTTTCAGTAAAGGATTCCAGTGACAAAGACTAGGACTCTGTGGTAGTGGTCTGTAAATAAAGGACCATGAAGAAAAGTTTATCTATAACTAATTTTTGTTTACTTACTCTTATATAGATACTGTAGTCAGTCGCATCTGTCCTTCAAGTTTGAGGTTAAAATATTGTATTTGTTATTTTACAGTTTTGCTATTTCCAGTCTTCGCTCTTCTTTTTGCCTTGGAACAAATTTTAAAATTATAGAAAGTGGGGTCATCCACTTAGGCTTAGTCTTTCCTGTAACTGTAACAGGGTAACTGTGTCCACTCTTTCAGGCTACGTTGCCCTTACTGTTTTTTATACAATGAAACTGACTTTCTGGACTTTGCATATATGTAATTTAATTTCTCTATATAATTTGTTAACTAGAGCTGCTCTGTTGTAAAATCAAGAGGGTCGTGCCTTATTTCAAATTCTTACTAAATAATGCTAAGCAAAAGGTATGACAGTTAATGCATGTTGTTGCTTTTTGAGTTTCAAATATTATATGTAAATGTAAATAGTTCTCAAATATTATACACTGATAGAGGATAGAAAAATCAATGTTTAAAATTCACTTTATTGAGAAGCCTGAATTGTGCTATAAAATACAGTGACCAAGGTTCTAGGACTGTCATGGTTGTTATGTGGAATTCTTAATTTTAAAAAAAGAGTTTTTCTGTTTTCAGTTCATTATTGTTGTTCATTCTTTTTATTTTTTATCTTAGTGTTTTTTCTTGCAGCTGCTGTTTCTGTAGTGTAGAAAGCCAAATAGACTGGTAGTCTGTTAAATGAGAAAGGAAACCAGCTGCAGTTTAAAACTTGCCGTGTTCAGTGGTCTCAGTATGAAACAGAAGTGTTGATTTTTGTTATTTTTGTTCTAATTAAGGTCTATTTTTATATCTATTTTCCTATTTTTCATCATTGCTTCTTAATTTGTGTGTTAGGTACAGTTTGTAACTACCTAATCCTGGTTACTAATTTATTTGCTTTTCTTTTCTAGGCACTGTGCTTAATAGTGTTACCATTCATTCCTGCATCAAACCTTTTTTTTCCTGTTGGGTTTGTAGTGGCAGAACGAGTGTTGTATGTTCCTAGCATGGGATTCTGCATTTTAGTAGCACATGGATGGAAGAAATTATCCAATAAAAGGTATCTTAGTAGTATCTGTAACTAATTTAACTCATCTGTCTTTATTTCATGGCAAATAAATAAGTATACTTAAATTGTAAGGCCTTTCCAGTAGAGCTTTTACCAGTGCGCGCTTACCATGTTATAGTTCTTGTTCTGTTTTGAGTTCTTTCTGAACACAGAGTAACAATCCAGATGAGCTGTTTGGTAGTCATGTGGTGTGAACAAATGATAACAAGGAATATCTTAGGAGACCGTTGGGTGTTTTCATTTATGACCAAATTTTTTAAAGCATAATCAGTAGCATTGATTTAAAAATGTGATACGTTTGCTCGCCTTGCCACTGAAAGAGTTACAGTGCTGCTTTAGGAGACAGACACTTATTAGGCAATTTATTAGGAAATAAATATTTGTAGCGTAGCAAATATTTGTGATTAAACTAGTCTGTGTGGGTATGTTGGGTGCAGTTAGAAGGACCTTCTGACATATTGAGCTAGTCTTCAGATACAGTACTGATACCTTTTTAAAAATTAATTGCGATTGAGTTCATTGCTGCAAGTGAGAAGGTACCTTAGAAGTTAATTTTTGCTGTTCTGTGTGCAAAGTAAATTCCATAGTATTGTAAAAAAGAATATCTTCAGAGTCTTCTCAGCCTTGTGCCACTGTCTTTTGAAGGCACAATTGTGTACAGGTTGTAAGCTGAAAGGCATTTAAATCTGATTCAATTGCACAATCTAGTATTTCAGGTTAAAGTCTTGAACTGTCTTGCTGAAGATCAGTACATATGATGTGAATTGTATTGTTTTCTGTGAGTGAGTAAGGCCAGGAAATTTCACCTATATTTCTAGTAGTATATCCAATCTCTGTAATGTAAAGAAATATGTGTATTTCCTGTTTAAAGTCTAGGTTTTTTTAAGGATTATACAAAAAAAATTCTCGCTCAGATTTGATGTGTTCATTATTCAAAAGTAGTTACTGACTAGAGTTTACATAATGCATATGTATCAATTTGCAGGATATTCAAAAATCTTCGTTACTGCTACAATTTTCAGAGATGCAGTGCTAAGAATGAACATCAGAGCAATTCGGTACTTGTTTCAATAAAAAATGTTTTGGATAAGAATTTCTCGTTAGGAAATTCTGCTCAAAAAGCACCTTTTGCAGCTTTGGGGCTTCAGTAGCATCAGTTCTTATATCCTATAAATGAACCTTAGATTTTATGCTGTCGTCTTCACAGATCTGTACATGCTTCCCCTGACCTGGATGCTTTACCCTTGTTAGCCTAGAGGCATCCTGGTGCTAGTTCAGACAAACTCTAAGGTAGTAATTCTCAATTGATTGTGTCTGCTGTCAGCAGAGGTGAAGTCGTGCATGATAATCTGTGCTAAACTGTTGCTGCCAAAGCTGACAGGACTGAGTAAGGAGAAATCAGCTGTGATTTCTTGTGCGAGTGAGGAGAAGGCATCATCACGAATACGAATAGAAGTGATGTGAAATAAAAAGATCAGAGGAGAGGGTGGACAGGGAAGAAAATTAGGCAACAGGGTGACTTATAAAAAGGTGCTCTGGAAAGTCTTATGAGGTGGAGAAGGCTCTTTAGGAATATGTGCAGCAATAGCAGTTTTTCATTGAAAAAACCTTTTTTTAATAAGCACAGTCTTCTAAGTTTGCGCAAAATTTTGTACATTTTAAAAATGGGGAAAAAAAAACCCTTCTGTTTTCTGTCACACACCTGTGAAGTACAGAGCAGTGTGTGAAGAGCTATAGTATAACTCAAGGTACAAGAAATAGCTGGCAGTGATGAACAGCCGCATCTGCTTGAGTGAAACTTTTAAAGGTTTTTAAAAACAAAATAATGTTCATAATTGTAGGAAAGCTACTGAGTATTCAGTGGGCTTTTTTCCATAATTACATCAGAATTCAGAGACCTAATGATCAGCTTGCTAAAGCATGTGTTTTAGTAATGCTTACACTCTGGAAAAGTGAAGTGCATAAACTCTAGAAGAACACTGTTGCTGAGAAGCTGGTCAGGGAGTGATTTCTGCCCCTGACTTGCAGCTTTTAAAGCAAAATGCAAATTGCAAAAGAGACACTAGCACTTGCTGTAATTTAGGTATTACAGTAGCATTAGGATTTTATTTGATTATGGAAGCTTGGATAGTCTCGATAGCAGACATCTCTGTTCAGATGCGTTCTCCAGTGTGGGAAAGGTACTGGTAATGTGCACACTCAAGAATTTGTGTGGAATGATCTGGCATTAAACAAAAGGATGGGATGATGCTTTTAGTCCTTTACGTTTTGTAATGTTTTAAGTTTTATAAAGTGTTTTGAAGAACCGCAGTGTTCGACATCATGATCACACTCATTGCCTTAAATTATAGGTAAGCTCTGAATATTAAAAATACACTTTTCCTATACTTTTGGTTTTAATATGTGTAATATTAAAGCCTTCACTTTTGTTAAGTGGATTGCATAGTGATATGAAAAATATTGAATATGAAATATTTAATGCAGTATGAATTTGAGTTGTGTGCTTCTGACAATTTTTTTTTTTTTTTAATAGTGTGCTAAGAAAGATTTCTTGGGTGTGTTTGGCAGTGGTACTATTCACTCACGCCTTAAAAACACTGCACAGAAACTGGGATTGGGAGTCAGAGTACACATTGTTTATGTCAGCTTTAAAGGTACTGTATTTCATTTCAAATAATTAAGGGAAACTTTTTTTGTTATTCCTCTCAAAATGCTGTGTACAGTAGAGCATGATAAAAACAAAGAGAAATTACTTGTTTTGCTAAATTTATTTCTACATTGATAGTATTCATATCTAATTAGTCTCTTTTGGAAATACTTTAAAAGTAGTGTAGGGACGTTGCATGAGAATTCACGTGTAAGAAACGGAAGACTATTTTCTGTAAATAGAAAATTATTTGTAGAAGGAGGTAATTTTTGTCTTGATTGTGTTACAATAGTTAAATATATTCTTTTATCTGGACAAAAGCATAGTATGTTCTCTTGAGCACAAAAATCTACAACAAATTTGAGGCATAAAATAATATCTTTAAGGTTCACATGGCATGATAGGATAGTTTGAACTACCAGTTATTCATTTTCCCTTAACAATTACAATGAACTTTGGAACCTTTAGGATTTTTACGCACAATATTTGACTAATAGCTAAAATGAACTTGTTCCTCACCATTCATTTATTGTTCTAATTGTATGCAATGTTTTGTTATTCTTTACATAGAGTAGCCTGATGAAATCTGTGTCATTGCTATGTGTTTTCACATGTCTATCATGTAGTTGCAAGAAAATCGTGTTGTATAACTGCAGCTTAATATCCTGTATATTTGTATTTTTTTTTCCTATTTTTAGGTAAATAAGAACAATGCAAAACTATGGAATAATGTGGGGCATGCATTAGAAAATGAAAAGAATTTTGAAAGAGCTTTGCAATTCTTCATACAAGCCACCCAAGTGCAACCAGGTATAACCTTTGATTGGTTGCCATTGAATGCATTCAGTGGCTTATTGTTCTCTCCTCCCCACCTGTAGTATTTTAGTACTCCTAGCTTACTTTAAAATCTTTTGATTTAGCTGTTTTTCCCCAACCAAACATCAAACTATAGTCTTTGAGTGTGAGAAAATAATTCTTTAAAAAATAAAAATAAAACTGCAAAAAGATACCTGGGAAAAGCTTTTGTATCTACACAGAAATACAAAGACTTCACATTTAAAACCGTTATTTAAATTCATTTAGAAGGAATGCAATCCAAACTCTTAATTCTGTACATAATGTAATTAATTATTAATATTTAATTTTCTTATTTCAAACTAGGAAGATCTCTTAAAAAAAACAGATAAATTTAGGCAATATCAAAGAGTGTTTCCTGAATTGTAGGTATTGTTGCAAAGGAAGTTCTAGGTAGTACTTGACAATTGTTACTGTTTCGTTTTAGAAACCTAAGAAATTACTTCATGTATAGTGCATTTGTGGCATATTACGTTCACACATAATAAGGCAAAATCTGCTTGCCTTTTTATATTTTAGAGTGTGGTAGTTATTTCCTAACTTCAGAGAAGTTCTTGTTATTCAGGATACTTAATGTGTTTTAAATCTGACGTTAGCACCGTTGTCTTTCACTTTGACACAATTTTTATGATAGAATTGTTAATTAGGTGCTTCTACTATAACAAGAAGGTAAAAATAGATACTTAGGAAGTATGACCTCAAATTTTTGACCGTTTCATAAGAAACTTTATAATATATCCTTGTCTCGTGCTTAATTTAATAACTTCGTAATTAAGATGAAAAATAATTTAGAATTGCTTTTTTTAATGAACTTTATATTGTAGCTCTACTTAGTGCTACTCACAAGGTGTAGTCATTTACTTGTATGGTACTCAGTACATGGAAGTATTTGATTATTTATTCTTGTTTTATTAAGATGATATTGGTGCCCACATGAATGTAGGAAGAACTTACAAAAATTTAAACAAAACTAAAGAAGCTGAAGAATCATATATGATTGCCAAATCATTGATGCCACAGGTAATTACTGAGTTTATTTTATCTGCTGCCATAGGAGATCTTTCAAACCTTTATTCATGATACAAATTTTTCTTATTTTTGCATAAAGCTCTGTGTTGCTATATGGTTAAAGAGCTTTTTTTTATCTATCTATTTTTATGAGAGCAGGTTATGTGCAGTCTTAGCAATTTAAGAAATGCTAATTTGGAACTTTTTTGTTCAAACTATTTTGTTAATTTTATACTGTTGTTTTCAGTTTTGCTCAAATTGAGGATACAAAAGAAAGCCACAGTTAAATATACGCGTACAGTTTCTAATCACGCAGGGTTTGTTCTCCCTTCTAGCTAATACACTGATGATTGAATTTCCAAACCTACGAGAGAAGGCTTAAACGCAGTATTGGAGCGGGGAGAAGAGAGATAGCAGCGACAATAAAATCTTTGCTTGAACATATTTTTAAAAACATATGCTTTGTTGCCCTTACCCTATTTGAAATTATATGTATGTGTAGGTAATATTACTTATTTTAGTTGTTTAGGAGAAAAGGAGGGTAATTTATTGGCGTGCATATGAAAGTAACAAAAGTTAAGGATAAAAGGAGACTGCCAATAAAAATCAGCAAACCACTACAGCATTAAAAAGTTTCTGTGCTGTGAGACAGCATGAAGATTCTAGACTGATAAAGTATAAGCAGCACAACAATTGTGATGTTGTACCAGATGAAAATCTTGCATCTGCTGTAACAGTGACTGGTAAAATCTTATTCACACCTCAGGAAGGACAGTCAAAAAAGGAATTAAATTTTCTGATAGAACGTGGATTAGGCTTTAGCAAATATTCTTGGTCTGAATGGGAAAAGTAAGCAAGGGCTTGGTTAGTTGTTGATGATCATATGCCCAGTTAAGCAGCAGAGCTTAATAAACTGATATTTCAAATATGCTATAAAAGTTATCAGTACCTCCATAGAATTAAAAAAGAATTACTCTTTGTGATTATTAAGAGCCTGCAGACTGATGTCCAGTGGTGCCCAACACAAATATGGCAGAGTGAAGAGCAGATCTATACTGATTGTCTTTCAGATTTTATTGAAATTTTTAGTGGTCTATATTTGGTACATATATTCTTTTTGACAGATTATTCCAGGTAAAAAGTATGCAGCAAGAGTTGCTCCTAACCATCTGAATGTTTATATCAATCTTGCAAACTTAATTCGAGCAAACGAATCTCGCCTTGAAGAAGCAGATCAGTTATATCGACAAGCAATTAGTATGAGGCCAGATTTCAAGCAGGCTTATATCAGCAGGTATCTCTCTCTTCTAATTTTAGAGCTGGATATGCTTGAATGTGCACTTGTTTATTTGCAGAATTAATAAGCAGTATTTATTTCATACAATTAAATTAGCTACTGGAATTAGTTTAATGATTATTTTGAAATTAGAAGGTGCAGTTTTGGGGGCATTAGTCAAATTATTCATTCTTAGAATCCCTTTTAATTCTTTTAAATTCCTGCTAAAATAGTGTATTTTCATATGTGCATATTGAAACATTGTATAGCAAGACACTTCCATTTGATTTTTTTTCATGATTTTCAAACTCATGTTTCCCATCTTCTAGTTTAATCTTTAACTAAAAAGGTTTTGGTTAGTCTGGATAATGGAGCTTTCTCTACCTTTTTTTGTTGAAGTTGATCCAGAAAATGCAAGACTTGCATGACTAGAAAGCCCATAAATGGGAGCCTGAATGGATAAGAGTAATGTGCCCACGGGCACTGAGGCTTCAGTTCACTAATTATCAGTTATGATTCCCACTGGGATTTAGGCAGGTGCCAAGATGCTACACTGTAGCTGCTGCAGTGTGATTACAGGGTAGCTATCAGGAGTCCTTGATGACTCTGCTGCTCCCCCGACCCTCCCACCCTTTGCATATACACTTCTATATAGATTTTTGAGAGCGGATAGGTCTGGGGAATGGTATAGAAACAAAGTCCTGTGTCCTTTTGCGTTTAAAACAAAAAGAAAAACTTTATTTCACTGCATCTCCTGCTTTTAGGAAGACACACTCTTAAAAGCCTGTCAGTTATTTTTATATCTTTATGGAAGTTGTTGAAAGTAAAATTTGATTCTTCAACAGGGGAGAATTACTTCTAAAAATGAACAAACCTCTGAAAGCTAAGGAAGCTTATCTTAGAGCTCTAGAATTAGATAGAAGCAATGCAGACCTGTGGTACAACCTGGCAATTGTTTTCATTGAGCTAAAAGATCCGACAGAAGCTCTGAAGAATTTCAACCGAGCACTGGAACTGAACCCAATGCATAAACTGGCATTGTTCAACTCAGCACTACTAATGCAGGAATCTGGTATGTTAGTTGTCCCTAATATCAGCATTTGCATTCATAGGACGTGTGTGGGTTTGTTTGTTTTTTTTAAGGTTTGGCTTATTTTTCAAAACAGAAGTTCATAGCATGGTTCTCAAATTGTGTTAAGGAGAGACACCAAAGAAGAAAGTCTTTATTGTAATAGTCATCTTTATTGAGACTGTATGAAATTTGTACATGTACTCTAACTGATAAGCACTTTTAGAACAATTTAGTGTAAGACTCTATCCTTTATAAGATTATATTACAAAATGTAATTTATTTTTCAAAATTGTTCATCTCTATTATCAAAAAAAGATATTTAGTAAAATACATATAACACTGTTTTACATTTGTATTGATATAATCCATTCCTTGCTGACTAAAGTGTCAGACTGACTTCTGTGGACTTTAAATCTAGCAAAAATTGCTTTGTAATATTGCTAATTAGTATGAATCAAGTCCAATTTTCATGTATCTAATTTTATTCATATATATAACTTCTAGCTGTATGGATAAATGAAACCCTTTCGTGAATACAGGCTGTTGCAAAGAATACTTGGCAAGTGAATAGTAAGGGCTTTTGTTTCCTCTTGTTGGAATGGTAAGCTACCCCTAAGAAAGGGATTCTATAGGTTTGATTGGAGCTGGGATGCAACTGTATTGCTATTCATCTCTTCTCTTCATGTTATAAATTACGTAATACAAGAAACCCCTTGATCAGAGGCTTCAGACAAGCAGAAGTGTTAGCTATCTAGTATTCAGTTATTCATAGTGGAGGGTGCAGCACTGTTTCAGGATGTGAAAGCAGAAGGTGCAAGTCAGCTCCCTGCTCCCCTATTCTTCAGTAAGGCTTTGCCTGGAATTTCTTACAAAGATTGTTCACTGTGTATTTATACAAGGTAGCACAGACTACGAGCTGGAACTCCTGCCATGATCAGATATGGTTACTTTTCAGTATGGTGGTGGTGGGTGTTTGGGGAGCTTGCTTGTTTGTTTGTTTGTTGAGACAAAATAAAATAAGACAGTTGTGTGAATTTATTGTGTTTGATTTTTAGAAAAGATTTAGCCTGGCTAAATCTGAAGTTATCCTGTGTGATCTTTGACTTTAAAATCTATCAATCCATCTTTAACAAAATGAGGTCTTCCACTCCAATTTTGTCTCTGTGAGAGCTGATTTGCCAGAACTGATGTCTTCTCTCCATTCTAGTTGCTTAATCATATGTGAAAAAAATCTCCCTTAAGCTTGTGGAGACAGCTTTATTTGTATTGTGTGCAAAAACTAAATTCAATGCAAGAAGAAATAGGGTAATGATGCTGACTTTGGCTGCAAGTCAACAATAAGTAGTTTTGCTCTGTAAAGAAGGTAAGTGTCTTTATAAAATGCTGTTACCTGACAAAAAGAAAAAGTAACATTTTTAAACCTTTTCCTTTTACAGCTGTACTAAGTATGTTTCATTTTAATTTGTATAAACCTTAGCATTTAACAGACCTGGTCTAAAAACTCTACAGAAATAAATCTGTAATTTCCTGTCATCTAGGTGATGCTCGGCTTAGACCTGAAGCTAAACAAAGACTGTTAAATTATGTGAAAGAAGAACCACAGGATGCCAATGGCTATTTCAATTTGGGCATGCTGGCAATGGATGACAAAAAAGATACGGAAGCAGAGGCTTGGATGAAGAAAGCGATAAGGTTACAGCCAAACTTCCGAAGTGCGTTGTTCAATTTGGCACTGCTTTATTCTCAGACAGCAAAAGAACTGATGGCATTGCCCATCCTGGAAGACCTACTGAAATATTATCCTGATCATACCAAAGGTCTGATTTTAAAAGGAGATATTTTAATGAACCAAAAGAAAGATATAAGTGGAGCAAAAATGTGTTTTGAAAAAATTCTGGAACTGGATCCTAACAATGTACAAGGGAAACATAATCTTTGTGTGGTTTACTTTGAAGAACGAGACTTAATGAAAGCAGAAAAATGTTTGGTTGAAACTCTAGCACTGGCACCTCATGAGGAATATATTCAACGTCATCTAAACATAGTCAGAAGTAAAATTGCGTCTCTCAGTGCTGCGGAACAGTCATCACTTCCAGCAGATGGGATTGCAGCTGTAGAAGAAAAAAAAAAATCATTTGAAAATTTGAAAGAAGTAAAAAACGAGAAGAAAGCCACCCAAACAACAGTTAATAAAGGGCAGTTAAAAAATAAGAAGCGAACAGAGAGAAACAACATGGACAAAGAGACTCCCAAAAAATCTGCAAAGGAAATCAAAGACATTGAGAAAAAGAGAGTCGCTGCTTTGAAAAGACTAGAAGAGATTGAACGTATATTAAATGGTGAATAGCCTTTATCATGTCACAACAGAATAGGGAGAGTGTTCTATTTTTTGTTATTGTTTAATATGTGATCCAGCTAGAAAGTGGACTCAGTGCTTTGAAAGCAGAAATAATGTCAACTGCATATCAGTTAAGCAGCAAAAGGCAGTTCTACAATGCTTTATGTGAGAAAACGGCAACTTTTAAGTGTGGGAGATGGTTAGGGATAGAAGGATAAAGGGTTGAGAATAACATAACTGCAGAAACTTCTAATAGTGAGCATGTGGCACTCCAATATTAAAATTATTGATAGCAAGGGGTATTCAGTAACAATCGGTGAAAGAGCTGAATGGAGAGTTAATGGTTTAAACCAGACATTACTTCTTTCCCCACATAAGCCTGTTTGCATTTTCTCCATTTCAGTTTGCACATGAGCGGTTTAAATCTTTCTAGACCTCTGCTATACATGAAAAGCATTTTCTTTGCATTATTTGTTTCCAGAGCTTAGCAAAAGGACAATAAATACCACTGGTGGTTGTATGTGTGTGTTAGGCCATAGGATGATGCAACAGCACACTAAAATTCTTTCAGTTGTGTTCTGAATACGGGATGGTATAATAACCTTTTAATTGCTCTTTACTTACAATGCTAATGGTTTGTACTGTTTTATCTGATAGAGATCTTATGGTGCTCTTAAAATCTTTAGACTATGCTGTACTATTTTTAAAAGAAGTATGTGTTTTTCTTCAACTGTTGATCATCTGGTTGTTTTTAAAAATTACTTTAAAAAGGGGGGGTGGGGGTAGTTTTTCCACTTTTTCCTCAGTTCATTGGATGCTGAAAAATGCACTTTTGATTCAGTAACCAGTATGCTATGCAGCAGTCCTTGTTGACTTTGTATTGATGACTGTGGATTGACTCCCTGGTGTAGTAAAATTATTCCTTGTGTATAGTAAACTGGCTTTACTATTTCAGTCATTGGAACAGTATTTTTAGTCTCTTGACTTTTCACACAACTAATTTGAATAATGATTAGCCATTGCTTAGGGCAATGTGGAAAATAACTAAGCCATTGAATTTAGCAGTTTAGCACAAGGAAATGTGGATAATATGCTTCCAAATGCCAAGTTCTGTTGTTTTTATGTTTTGTTGTGGGTGTTTGTTTTTTATTAAATATTTATTTTGACTACTAAAATATTCCCATTTACACTTTTCCACTAATGCATCATTTTAACTTCTTACATGAAATTAATTTTTTTTAAAATCTGTGTTGCTTTTATCCTTGTGCAATGCATGTATTTGTTAAAAATATATTACTTATTAGTAAGTCTGTTGTCCTCATTAACTGTGAGGAAGAAAAGAAATATAAGAGTTGGGTTGAATAATAGTTTAATTAATCCTTAAATCTAACTATTTCTCTCCTATGTTTTGTCTTATTTCAAGATTCAGAAGCATTCCTTAGCAACCCTACTACCGTGACCCTTTCTGTAACTGCTCAGTTTTCTGCTTCAGGCTGTAATCTAGCTGTAAGACGTAATATTTATCTTTGTGGGAGGGAATCTTAAATGTTTGAAGGTCTTGCAGGGACCTCTTCTTTATTACATGTAATTTGTAATGTTACCACAACAATTGCTTATATGGTAATAACAAAGGGAAAAGTGTTTCAGAGGTATTGTTTTTGATTTTTAAACATAGTTTGAAAGCTACAGACAAGAACAGGTACCTGGTGTCCAGCAGTTTCTGTACATAAGTGCTCTGTAACACCCTTATTGACCACACCATGAAAATCACTGCTTCATCTTGGCTGTGAGTAACTGTCAGATACTTCTAGCTGAAATAGTGTCATAGAAACACGAACTTGCGTATTCCATCTATCCCCTGACCTTTGCTTTACAAATGAATGAGTCATCATCCTGGGTGACAGAAAGGAACAGTCACTTGAAAGTGGGAGGAACTAAGTAGTAAGAAAAGGTACTTGCTCTCTGACTAAGCCAGCCAGAATTCTACTTTCCTTTATAAGCTGAAGAGCTTCTAAAATCTAGTTGCCATACCACTTTTATTTTACTGAGTCAGTGTAGTCAAGAGTGGTTTTTTTGTTGGTTTTTTTTTTTTTAAAAAGGCATGCTTGCAACTTGTGCAATTGCGCCAGGGCAGGTAAGAGTACTTTAAAAAAATAAATACTGTTGCTCTGCTCTCATCTTGACCTTCCAAGTAGCTCTTCTTGAAGAACTAGCAAGAAGTATTTAGATTTCTTGACGCTTAAGAGGTGCCACCAGTTTTAACTAACATCCTCGATCAATGTAAACTGAACTGTGCTAAAAGTATGTCTTTCAGGCCATCTGCAGGTACTGTGCAGTGTGGGTTTTTTGTTTTTTGTTTTTTTAAGAAGTTTTAGTATTTTGACTGATGTCAGTGTGCTGATTTATATTTAACCTGTTGTGATGTGTCAACAATTTTTAAATTACACTCCCACAGGAAAAATAGTATAGTAAATTTAAGTGGTATCACTTCTGAAAAAATAATCAAGGCTATTGCCTTTTCTCATGGAAAACTGTGATGGAAAATATAACTTTGGCTTCATTTACTTGCAGATAAAATGGAGAGACAATTGACAGGCATTTTTCCCTTTCAACACAGTCTGTTCTCTTTACTCCTCCTCCCACCATCCGCATGTACAAGGACACTATAAGTCTTTTCAGAACCCCTATTTTTGCTAATATTTGAGAATTTGGGATTTCCAGGAATAGGATAAGCATACTAAAATAACTTACAGCCCTATTCTCAAATACAGTTGCTGTGGTTGCTGGAGAAGCCTGAAGAAATGCCTTCTGTCAACTTTGCATAAGGAATTGTTCAAACTTACGTACTGCTGCAATAAACATACTAAACTTTATGCACATTTTATTTCTTCCTGTAATTTCAGTACAAAACCATGCACTCATCTCAGTTTCATTGTTGAATCTTTGGCAGCTGAGTGTATGCCTAATAATTACAGGTGAACATGCATAAGCATTAATTACATAGGCACATATACAGTTGAGACAACTGGGTGACTAATGAGTAGTGTAGCTGTGAAAGGATAATGTGGACTGTAGGCTAATCCTTGAGTATAGATTGGGGGGCTATTTTGCAGATGAAATAGCTTGAGACTTCATTTTGTAATTTTTTTTAAGTATTCTTTGTGTTCTAAGTGTTACTCTTTGTATTGCAACCAGCTAAAACTATTATGTATTCATTCAAATATGGGTTTTTTTTCCAATCGGTTTTAGCAGCTCTGGCAGGAGAAATAGTAAAGGTGGGTATTAGAAAGAATAGAAGCCTTTTCCAACTAACATTCAAGTACAAACTATCAGAGATTTGAGTCATAAAGGAGGGAAATTCTTTCCAATTTGCGGTGCGGTGTACACCGTGAGCAGAGACTACTGGAACAGCTAGAGTTAAGATACAGGTAAATGTATGAGAACAATTTGCTGTGGGTGAAGGGTAACGTATGAGGAAAATACAGTATGCATACGCTATCAGAGCGTAATTGAAGGAAAGAGGAAGCTTGATTTCTGCTCAGTTGCAAGGTTAAAATTAAGTTATTGACCTGTGCCTTGTTTTGGAACATAAAGTGCAATTTCAATATATTTAAAAGGAGGATGACATGCTGAAATCTTAAGGAAGTGGGTCTTAGCTTCCAACTCTGACATGATGCCTGTGGGGCTGGAGAACCTACAGGTGCTTCTCAGCCAGCCTCTGCCTCCCCCTGGCTCTCAGGCATGAAGCAGGCAGGCTCAGAAAATCTACCTAAAAAGGAGATGGGACGAGTTTGTTCTAGGGGTCTGTCCTATGGGATGCAAAAAGTGCACTCATTCTTTGTTCATTTTCCTGGAGTTATGACAGTATTGTGACTGGGTCCCTCTGTTTCCTGACAAAAGCATGATTTATTGCTCAGCTTTTGTTCGTTCTCCACAACTCCGTGAACCACAGGCTTGTGGGATTCTGAGGCAACCTAACGCTTAGTGGGGCTTCGGATAAGCACTGAACTGCAAGATACATCACCTCTCTGACAGAACAAATTGTCAGTTGCATAAAGTAAACACTCTCCTTTCTCCTCAAACAAAAGATGCTGAAACATTTTTTGGCACTGTGCATTTAGCTTCTGCAGTGTTACATCTCAACAGGTTCCCCCCTTCCTTACAGCTGCAGAGCACTCCAGTGCTAAGAGGCACTGAGGGCAGCTTTTCAGGCTCAGTAGTCAAGTTTGCTGCCAGATGAGGTTTTGCGAGATCAAGCTGTGTAATTGTAAAGCTGCTCAAGTTCCTGCTTTCTGGGTATGGAGCTTTGCAGGGGCCATGCAGGGTTGTGGCGCTTGTTTCTTCCTGAAGTTTCATATGGAAAGACCTTATGGAGATCACAACAACCCTGGGAAGCTAGCAGCTGCCCCAGGGTAACTCTTGCAAGCTTTGAATCTCGCGAAGGCACAAGGAAGAGCACCGGTTTGAGAGAGAGAGTATGTTACTGGGGCTCTTCCCTCCAGAGGCTCTGTAATCCAGCTCTGCCTTGCAAAATGTGTGGCACTGCAGCAGAACCTGTTAGTCCTGTAAAGACCTGCTTCAGCACTGCCATATGATCAGAATTATGATTCTCTGACTTTCAGGAATCCTGCTCCACTTAGAAAGTTTGAGAATGGAAAGGCTGGAAGACACCTCTCCTTCTACCCCTCCTTCACATCGCAGTTTTTCTCCATACAAAACTGATACCACCCTTCAGGTGGTGTTTCAATCGAGCAAGAAGAATCTGTGTCCCCCAAACCTGCAACATACTCAGCTTAATGAAAAGGTAAGAGTTTCCTATCTGTGGTCAAAGTAACACATCTAGGCTTATTTTAAGTAAGCCAAATACCATATTATGTGTATATCACTTCAGTAAGTGTTAGTGTAGCTGGTATTTTTTCAAAACTAGAAACTTCTTTCTGCATTTTATATATTTTATTAGTATCTTTCTACGGATCAATGGTCCTACATGCAGAATGTCTCCTTTGCAAAGTGCCAGAAGAAATTCGATACACCTCTCTCTCCCTCCCTCCCTCTCCCTCTTTGAAACAAACAAAAAACACATACACACTTCTGCATAACTGTCCTGAGTTAGGAAATACTTCCAGGAAAATATATTTAATCTTCCCAGAGAAGTATCTTCACTTCAAGGATTACAAGAAATAAAACTTGTCTTTATAGGTATCACATACTCTGAAATAAGGAATTCTGTTTAAAACAAAATAATAATATTTTGATAGACTTCAGTATAATGAAAAAGCTGTTATTGCCTATATCTTTACCAGTATGAGAAATATGCCAACAAAAAAAAAATGTAGAAAAAAAGTTCAGCTTGTGTCTTCAACTGTGCTTAGAAAATTGGAAATAGTTTTGTTAAACATCCATACTGATAGTCTTTACAGTGAGGTTAGAGATTACAAACTGGTTTGGGTGAGCTTAGTCTTTTACTGGCTCTTGACTGAAGCAGAGATAGAAATGAAATACTCCCTTGATTTGGGTGGGGGGGGGAGGGCCTTGCACGATACTGTGTCTTTCTACATTGTAGAAAGTGTTATATATGCTAATGGGTGAAATAGCTATTCTTGCAAAAATTTTAGTTCCTGATAGGTAGGTCAAAAGTGCAAGTAAATTGGTGTATTGGATATGATTTTGGGGAGTGATATGGTTATACAAATTACAAGCTTCGTCTGATGTTATAAATTCTGTGTCTTTTCTAAGCTGCAACTCTGTTATGAATGTGAAGCCTGAAGGATTCCAGATAGAATAAAAGGTGACCATTAAAATAAAGCAAATTTTTCATATTTCCTACACCTATTCAACATATGTTTGCTCCTTGTGTGTAGTTGTTAGGTTATTGTCTTTTTAAATACACGTAATAAGGTATTTTTAATTATATGTGTATTCATCCACACACAATGAGAGTAGGTGGGGGAGGAAAATACAACAATTACAGGATGTTTTACCAAAAGTAGAAGTAATAAATTTTGATTTTTAAAATACCATCTTGAGCATGTTCTCACCTTTATTTCGGTTGCAATTGTTAACCCAGACCTTTATTTTGGTTGTACGTGATTGTATTCAAAGCGCTATGCTGTAGTGCTAACTTATCAATACTAAGAACTTCAATGGTATCGTTATAACTGATGATGGCATTATAACTGATCCTTACAGAACGGGATTAGTTGTTATCCTTCCTCAGCCTTAAGTTGAGTAATGGAGGCTGCTTGTTTGTTCAACGGTGGTTGTGCATCGGGTTTTCCACTATTTTACATTGTTACGGAGTGAACTTACTCTTTTCATCTACAGGAGTGTCCCAAGTCATGTCTGACTATATCATTTTGCAAGGCTTAATTTCTCTTGCAGATGTTAAAATGTGTGTCTTCTCATTAGCAATCAAAGATGGCATGATTGTCTTGTGCACATGAGAGAGTTGTAGAAGGTGGTAGACGTGAAGGAAGCCAAATTGTATGAAATGTGTCAGTATTACTGAAATCCAGTGAGATAAAAGGCGTATAATAGCACGGAAGTAATAACTGCTGTGCTTAGAAGCGTGCAAAAATGCGGTAAGTCTTACTCAGTCAGCAAACCAAAGAAAGCAGTTAATAAAATAAGTTTAAAAGGAGCTGCTGAACACTGTTTCTGTCCTTCTGAAAAATTTTTAAACAAGGCTAAAAAATTTGTTTTCCTTCAGTTCTATACATAAGCATTTAACACGTTTCCGGAATAAATGATTACGAACAAACAGAGACAATCAAATCTATGTGAAAGCTTAATACTGAAGAAATTCATATGCTGTGCTGAAGCATAGAAGAAGCTGAATGGAACAGTATTTCTTTAGATGTGTTTATATGAGTTGATTCGTATGAAGTCAAGCTGTATCGACAAGGATGATCTGGATGAGTCATACTATATTTCTGCCTCTTACTCGGATGAATATAGCCAGTCGAGTTTATAGTGCAAATATTTGTGCTTAAATTTATCTTTCCTTCAGCTGTTTCTATAGGCATTGCAAAAGAACTAATTTATTAGAACATTCATGAAAAGCAAAAATAAGCATAAATAAGTTTTGGAATAATTTCATTCTGATCAATCTATACGAAATAAAATGTATAAGTGTTTTCTAATTTTATTTGCACTGGTTTATCTTATGAGGAAATTACAAAAGGAACCCTCTTTCCATTGACTTCCTTCACCCTTTGATTATCTTTGACTTTCCCCTCATTTTTTTCTTCCTCTTTACCTGTCTGAAAGTCCTTTTCCCGTAAATAACAGCTTTTTTTTTTAAGCATAAAGATAAAATTCGCAAACAATCCTTCGGCTGTGAATACTGAAAACAAACTTGATCTGACTGTAGCAAAAGAAAAAACATAAAGCACACAAAGCAACTGAAATGCAAGACGACATCTAGATTTTTATATTAAAAATTAATAGCAAAGCAACAAGTAAACCTTGTTATTTCAGGCTAGGATCCTAGATTCTTAAGATCCTTCTGACGGATAAGAAAATACAGCAAACTTTAATTAATCAGTTACTGACAACCTCAACTTCAGAGTTTAATAATCATTTCAGATGATTGTTTTTACTAGTATGCCCTTCTTCAGTTCTAAGGGAGCTGGTATAAAGAGCTTGAAAGTTAGACTGAATTTGAGTAACGCAGACTGTTTATTTCTTGAATATTTTTAAATTCGCTTTCTTTGTTTACTTGGGTTCTTTTGTTCCTATGGCACTGGCGTTTTCCCACACTTCCATTGTTTTAAGACAGAAGGCTTTAAAGAGGAAAAAGAAAAGGACTAACTGAAGGGTTTTAAGTCTGTATATGCATTACTAAGAAGCATCTTCACTGTTCTGCTTTTTG